TCATTTAAAATATTCACTTCATATCTCTAAAGCAAAATCAACTATTAATACCAGTAATAAAATATTAATAAGTAATTTTTTACCATTTTGCACACATCAGCACTTCGCTGAAATACTAATTCAACATAGTTACACTGGTTAGTGGACATTGCCATAAGATCTTTTTTAATCATATCATAAACATAGAGTAAATAATGAGTATCACATCTGGCATAAAATATGGCTTCAGCCGATAATGGCCTAAAACAACATATAATAGAGACATGATAATATTTTTAATGGTAAAGAAATTTTTGGAAAAAATAACCTTGAAATTATATTTAATCACATTTAGATTATTGTTACCTTGTTCTCCAATCATATAGCTGAAATGCTTTGTCAGCATCTACATTACAATAATGCTTTAATAAGAAATCTAACCCTTTTCTAGAAAAGTTCAATATTTTAGCAGCTTGATATGTATCAAACATATTGACAACATATAGACCCAGATCTCTTTGCAGCCATAGAATATCACTATCCGCTCCATGAAATACCTGAAAACGGACAAACAATACATTTTGTAATAATTTTTTTTTTTTTTATCAAAAATAATTACTTTTACTACTGCAGGGTTAGTGAATATTTCATTGAGCACATGCAATTTGTCTCGTAGTTGTAGTGTATCTATAATATAATCGGTATTTCTAGTAGAAATTTGCATTAAACATGTAAACCCTTGATATGTTCGATAACTGTGAGCCTATTTAAAAAAAAAACAAAAAACAATGATCTCATTTTTTTTTTTGTATGTTAAAACAATACAAAGTTTAAATTCTACCTCTAAATCAATAGCTAATTCGTTAACAGTTTCTAAATCTGAAACCATCAAATTCAATTGTTCCTCAGTGTCTACTTCAACAAATTTTGTGTCTTCTAATGAAGCAGGCTTAACAGCTTTAGATACCTTTAAATGTTCGTCTGGAACCTTAAACTCTTCTAATTCCAATTGATATGGATGTTTATAACTAAAGAAAAATATTTTCAAAATAATTTTTATTGTTTATTCAACTATGAAATATAACTACTTACAACATGATTCCATCTTCATTTGTTTCCAAGCACAAATTTAATGGTATTTTACTGTTTGGTTTACTAGTAAGTAGGGGTTTAAATGGAACTGGCCTATTATCGACTTTGATCTTGAATTTTATTTGTGGTCTTTCAATATTACGGCCATGTACTAATATTCTTCTTTTATTTGCTGTCTGAGTATTGTCAGTAGATTCAGATACAAAAGCTTTAGGAGTAACAGATACACCCACATTTTTAAAAGATCCAYTTAATGTATCAATATTATGAGTCTATAAGAAAAAAAATTATTGATGGATCTTCATAAAATAAATATTTGGTACATTAGATATACCACTCGGTCTAAGATTGTGTCATTTCCTTCTTCGATAAGTTCAAATTGTTGGTCAGCATCTTTACCACGAATATTTCCAGGGATTTTCTGATTTTTCAATAATGCAGATATTCTGTAAGTTAAGCAATTAATCAGTTTTTAAAAAGTAGTATTATATATTATACTTATTAATTATGTGTATAAAGTATGGACATACAATTTGAGAACATGATTTTGGCGTGATGAAACAACTTTTTTAAATTTAGGATAACTGTTATAAAAATTCCAGTTTACCCCAATAGGCAAATTGTTAGAGGCTCGAGTGCCTTCAATAACTGTTTTAAAATCACTCTGCAAAATAATGTWAAKATACAATTAATGTTATTGTTATTACATTACATTGTATGATAAATACTGGATAGAAGATTTTTACACATTTGTGCTATGTGTCTTAAAGTTCAAATATTATTTTCAACAATATCTTTAGTTTATATATCAGTTAAATATATGTATGTCTACAAATAATAACAAGTAAATGACATGGTTAAAATAATTTAGATATGCATGTTTTGACTATCTAAATTATAAATTAACAATATTTTTTATAGTTGTTAGTGTCAAAACACAAGTAAATAGTTATTTACTATTTAAATGGTAATTGGCATTATTACATAATTATTAATATATTTAAAGGAATCAATTATTCAAATATAACACTTATTTCGTATTAACTCGTAAAAATGCAAGGTTCCAATGTGTTACGGGTATAGCATGAGCAGAAATTTATTAAAATTTCAGGGGGAAAACATATTTTATATTATCAATGTGAGCCGTGTGGGTTTCGATTCTAAGGCAACTAAAAWGGTGTCACATTTAGGGAGGTTAGGCTTCCTTGTTTTAACCAATAGTGTACAGTTAAGATCTTTAAAGATTAAAGAAGTTAATTAACTTACCATTTTATTTTAGTCTTAGTCAACAGTCAAGTGCATACCGTAATACAGCAATCTCGTGACACGGCGACGGCGTACACGTTCTCGGGGTTCACAATTAGTGAAATAGTGAATTACTAATTAGTCTGTAGTCACAGTCGGACCACAGATAGTGCATATTGCTAGAATGCTTATCAATTATTTATCAACAAAAGTTGTGTAGTGATTACGATTACAGGTTGGCCAACTGTTTGCGTTTCAGTGTAGGAAGACCGAACAATCATTTATCATAAACTAGGCATTGGGCAGTTCAACATAATTTAGATCAAATGGCAGACAAAATACTATGCGCTTTGGATTAAATATTTAAAATTTGAATGTTGTTCCCTTAGATTAAATTTAATCTATTCYGTGGTTGTTCTATCATTGATTAATATGATTATGGATTTTAATAGTCTGGTCTCTGGTATATTACTATATTTATTATTCAATCGAATAGTTTATATTATACTCGTATGTTTGTGTTTTAAGTAACGGAATTATAGATTGCAAAATAATAATAAGTCAATGCTTGATTGGGAAAATTAAAAGTGGTACGCATTATTAATATATATTTATTTTAATGAGTAATGAGAGGGACTGATAGTCTGATGCTCCTCGGATTCAAGTACTAATAGTACTATAGATTTTAGGTATACCTGCACTCCAGTGCCGTATCCATATGGAGTGGTCTTTTAGGCTTAAGCCCTCTCCCCTCGAAATCTCTGGTGAAATATTTTTTTTAGTAATGCATAATATATATATATTTCTATATACTTATCTATGGCATAATGGATTCCTATTATAGTAATAATGTTGACGTCTGAGCTTAGATTTAAAATTGTGACAATTTACATTGATATAATAAATACGTAATACATCAAATATTATGTGTATATTATACTATTTATATGTTTTTAAATTATTTCCTATTTTTCTATAGAGATAAGTACCTATGAATGTTTATTCTACTCTGTGGACTGTGGTTTAAGTTCTTCCCCCCCCCCTGGATACGGCACTGCTACACTGAAAGTCAAAGTTAAACTGATGATCACTGGTCGATACAAACTATACAACATAATTAGAAAATTAATATTTCATCTCTCGTGATCTACTGAATTCTACGAGCTTTACAGCTAGACTTAACTAAACATTGCAACTTAAATYATAAGATCATGATATATGGTATATAGTAGGTATTATGATTTACATGATCTAAGCATTCTAGCATCGAAAGTAAAAAGCTTTAAAACTAAAAACACTGATACTGATACTCGCAATTACGGTCAATGACAACTAATTAAATCCCTATCTTAAAAACAACATTGAAAATTTGATTATAATATGATTAATTATTGATGGTTTAGAACTGATAATATGTATCCATGAGAGATTTGGGCCATTATCTTAAGAATTTTTACTTTAGGTGTAAACATTTTTGTAACAGATGTTGCATCTTAACGCTGGCTCAAATTATAGAGTATAGATTAATATTGAGCGGCCCGTATATGATTGTTGATCATTGATCAATATCCGATATTAACATACTATGACAACATTATTGACCGTGCATTGGTGATATTGAAGGTATAATCAATGCYTAGAAAGTATCAAAACATTTTTGATATTTATCGAAGGATTCTATTGATATTCGACACGATTAAAGATATGCCATCGTGTCAATAATATTGATCGTGTATAGCCCGTATAGGGCCCCTCAACTCTATGCGTAGGCGGCAGGTCTATAGCGATATTTTACGATGTTCCAATAGTTCCTTTCCTCCTTCCTAGTTCTAACTTCTAATATGAGAGAGAATCTTGAATCTGTGTACGGAGTTCATGCTTAAATTATACATATTTTTAGGATGTTGATTTTTAATAATCAATAAAAATGTAATACTTTAATTGTTTTTTGTTTGTTGTATCATCATATGCTTTTCCCCTTCTATGCGAAATAGGCCTGCTAACGTCTATTTATAGAATACACTTTAATACGGATAAACATATTATACTATTAATATTAAYTATTTTGATGTACTTTGAAGCCCGTAGATAATATAATTTAAAACATATTTTGGTCGTTGGACTTTTAATTAATTAGGTGTCTAGTGAGCTACTCCAACACATTGGTCCATTTACGCGTTCTATTATTATTCAGAGTATGTGTGAGTGTGTTATTAATTTATTATGAAACGTTTACACAACATCACACGTATTMCCCCGTGCACTTGTTGACCTAAATCGATTCGATTACGCCCGAGGCGTTTGTTGTTGTTGTTAATGATAATGCGGTACAATAATAATAATTAACGTGTTTCATTCACTTCCGGGACTTTAAACAGTGTTCGGTAGCCTTGGTGCAGTTGGTGGGCATAAGTGATGCACGTTCGACCGTCTTTCTTATACGTCTTCGCAAAACCATGGGGCATGGGCTATGGCCGCTATGGGTTTTTACTTCTTTTCCCGTTCGACGCAGAAAAATAAATAAATATTTATTAGATTTCGCTGATCGCAAACGTCGACTGACGTCACAGACGTCGCCGTCCAATCGAAAACTTTTGTTCGTTCTCACTGAATACAGACGATTCAGTTAGACAAAACTATTATTATTATTAATATATAATATTATCGTTATATTGTGCTCAAGTCTCTACGATTACCACTCCCGTAGCCAATAATGCCAGTTGCCATCCATCAATGAATTGAGAGATTGAGAAATTCAGAATTGATATAATATTATTGTTCTTATTTCGGACTCGTCAGTCGGCGCGCGCGCGCTTTTGTCTTTGGTGGTGGCAAAAATTAGTAGGTACGAATAAACGGGTTGATAAAGTACAATCGTTATCGTTAAATAGGTATAAATGTATAATCCGTTTAAGTGCTTCGTGTGTCGTGTCGTCCGCCGGTCACGTTCGTCGTATTTTTTTGTGTTTTCGTGTCCTTGCTCACAAGTCGCAGTCCGCATTCGTTACCCACCGCGCTCATCACTGCTGCCCGTCAACTCGTTCGCAACAGCTGACCACCGTCGCGTCGTCACCCAGTGACCCACCGTCGCCGCGGCCTAATCTTTTATCATATTTGACATATTTTGTGTGTTCATTAGTGCATTACACTCAATAGAGATTGCTAGACCTTGCCCGCGACTCTTYATTTTGATTATCTTCTCACTATTCCTCCGCCGTTCAGTTTATTCGTCCATATACACCATCCGCTATGTCGGTTTCGGTCGTGAACAGGATCGGAGTTAGGGCCAAGATATGGAATTCGCTGACTGGTCGATTGGGCCCGAAGACTTATTTCACGTACACGCCCCAAGTATCACAGGTATTGGACCGCGAGCCGAAGTGGGTGTCCGCCGACGAAGCTGTCCAGTGCATCAAGTCCAGTAATAATTTATTTTCAATTCTCGTTAATTGTCTGCAAAAATAGGCAACATTTTCTGTGGGTAAGGGGCTTGGACGCTTCGGTCCCCTGATATTATTTCATAAGTTGAAGTAGTAATAAGTAATAACACTGTACAATTTAATAAGTGCCTATGTCTAAAGATATTCTATGCTGTTTGGATATTGTTGAGAGTGGAGAGTGACTTGATAGGATATTTTTAAGTCTTTTTTTGGTTTGGTTGGAATGGTTAAAGACAACCCTTTAGGTATACAGAAAATTTTAACAAACACATTCTTATGTTTTAATTTGAATTTTTTTGGTCAGAGGTCCATCTAATGATCATTATTCAATCTCACTTGATGGATTATAATAATAATATCGGTATTATATTATATTACTTACACTTCTGTCGATGGGAAATATTATTATTATATTATGTTTGCAAAATATTAAACAGCTATTGTCATTTAGTAGCCGTACAACAAATACTCACTTTAAATTATTAATTTCATGCCCCTTTGAACTTTTACATAATAATTAATAACATTTATAGGTATAGGTACTACAAAACTACCTACCTAATACAAATGTACTCATGTACTACCAATACAAATTGATCCAAGATGTTTTTGTGTCCGAAACTGCTAAGTAATATTTTTCTTTTGCTGAATTGGAAATAATTTTGCGTGTAGTTTCATATAAGCTTAAATTGTCAAGGTCAAAGTAATAAAATTGTGTTATGCAAATTTGAAATTCATTTTAATTCAACATCATTTCACAAACCTACATTGAAACTGGAAATATAATTAATGTACCCAAAATGTATCAGTAAGAATATGAAAATTGTCAAAATAATTAATAGGTAATTAGTCTATTTTAACTTTTTATAATTTGCATAAAATTAAAATACAAATCGTGGCAAAACTGACAACTAGGTGCCTGAAAAATATTGATATAAAGTATATGCCTATGTATCTTTTTCAAAATAGTTAATAAAGATAGTTTTCACATTTATATTTGTTATTGACATTTTAACTAAAAAAAATTGAAGATTATACTCACTATGGTTGTTCAAATAGTTAAATGCCATTAAAATATATAATCCCAAGTATTTATATTTTTATCTTAAATAATAATKTTGATTATTAAATGATTACTTTTTAATAATTACTTTGTAGAATAGATAACAAATCAGAACATTAATGTTAATTGTATTAATTTGGTTATTTCAGTTTTAAAAAAGTATTTTTCTTACAGATGACACAGTATTTGTGAGTGGTGCTGCTACTACACCAATTGAAGTTCTCCGTAGCATGACTGATCATGGAAAACAAAAGCAATTAAAAAATATACGTGTATGTAGCATTCATACTGAATTTGAGTCACCTTATTCATCTCCAGAATGTGAAGGTGTGCAAGTTTTTATAATTTTACAATTCAAAAAACATCTAAAACAATTTCTTTTTTAGGAATATTTCGACCAATGGCTTTCTTTATTAGTTCAAATATGAGGAAATGTATAAATGAAGGTCGCGGTGATGCTGTACCAATATTTTTACATGATATACCCTATGTATTTGAACGAAATGTTATACCAGTAGATGTATCAATTATTTCGGTAAGGAAATTAGATTTTTATTCATATACGCCATAGTGCTGTTCATGTTGTCACTTTATCCATTTCAACCATAAACATTCATCATAATTTGATTGTAACCTTAATAAGATATATATATATATTTTTTAATTTGCTTTTTATTATAAAATAATTATATCAAGACATAAGATATATAATTAGTAACAATAATAACTTCAGTTAGTGATAGTTTTTCCTTATAATATAAGGAAAAACTATATAATATTGGTATGTTTTATTATATAGTTTTTCCTTATAATATTATTTGTATAGCTGTTGGAAATAACTTTATTTTTTATTTGAAGTTTAAAATCATAACCTGTTTATATTTACATAATAGTTCATATATTTTAATTTCAGTATAATTTAAAATACAATTTTGTAGTAAGATTATTTTTTATGTATGATGATTATAGTAAATATTATTTATATCTACATAAATCATCTTGATTCATTTGAAAGTAGTTTCTTGGTATTAATATACTTCAATTTATTTTTATAAATAACTGTTGTTTTACATATTGTAAAAGTAAAAATATTCATATTTTTATTTTTATTTCATTAAAAGMAGAATTTAAAAATAAATATAAAGTAATAAAAATTAAATATTATTAAGCAAACTGTCCGTGGTATCTGGTCATTTTTATTAAAAATAAATTAATTTACGTTTCTTCTATATATGCTATATAGTATTATAGTTATATGAGATTTTTAATAGTTATAATTATAATTGCTAAATAATCTGATGACTAATGGTCGAGTTAGGTAAAAGTTATCTAAGAATAAAAAAAAAAGATAACATTTGTAATAGAGGTGAGATAAAAACTTATAGTGTAAATATTGTAATAAAATATAAGTCTATATTAACCAATTATCTTTCTAATTTTACTATCAGGATATAGACTATTACATTATATTCAAATATTTTTTTATTTAATGTGAGAAAGTTTTTAAAATTGAACATTGGATCTATGAATATTGATAAATGTTGTTTTTGTTAAAAACTTAGCATAAACAAATAGTGTTTATGTATTAGTTAATTAATTAAAATAAATAATATGCACATTTTAATCAAATTCAAATTTATTTTTTATTACTTAATGATAAGTATATAATATTAACTATTAACCTTTGAACATTACTATTATAAATTAAATTGTACTTTTCCAATTGAATGAATGATAATAATGTATGATTCTTTTGTATGAAACATTTACTCTACAGTCTATATTATTTTTRATTCAGTTAGGTTTATTAGATTTAAGAAGGGTAACAGTGAAACAGTCTTCATTATTTTACAAAAATATTGACATTATTTTAAACTAATAATAAGAACAACAATATCAGTTTTGTCAAAACAATTTTTAAGTTTTTAAGAAAGTTATTAGTTAGGTATAATAAAATATATCAAAAAGCCTTTTTTTGTTTATACTTATTCAAATAATACATTAGACTCTAATGATTAGAGTATTTAATTATAACCATGTAATAACAATTTGTCAAGTTCTGAGAGTGATTTTTACTATATTTGCTTCATACTCTGTCCAATGATACAAGATAACAATTCTGAGCATCACCACTCAATACTCTGCTGTCGAGCCTGTTTGCATGATGGTAGGATGTTGCGTGAGGATAAGCAGTAGAACCAATTCTTGACGGGCATGGCGTGATCCTCTCACTGAATAGATTATATGTGTATAACACATCTTATAATTCCACTCTACTACCAATAATTAATTTTTGATTTATATCTTGAATGAAATGATAGTAAGTCAAAAAGTAAAATTTTATTGCTAAGGTAGTTAGTATAGCTGTATTAATTTTCAAAGTTAGTGAAGAAAACTTTTTACATTTTCTTCCTAGTTTGAATCAAAATTAATCATTTTCAAGTACTGTCTATGTTTGTATTATATAAAAGAACTGAAAAATAAGTTGAAGAAAAACTGTTTTTCTCTTTAAATATAGAAATAGAATCTTAGTTTAAGTAAAAGTTAATTAATCGAATAGTAGGTACATACTGTATTTTGATTTTCATTAATAATAATTATAAATTGATTGAATTTCTATTCAAGTACAATACAATTAACAATTAATTAATTTTAAACTAGTTAATTTTTTTCATGCATTTTATTTATTTTAAATTAACATTAAAATTGATTGGTTTATATATTCAATTGTATATTTTATTATATAATTTGTTGGCTATGTAATATGTTATAGATAAAGTCAAGAGGTTATTTTAATTCTATATTAAATCAAAATATCAATTATCATTTGTTATATAACATTTTTTCTACAAAAAAATCAGGTTTTATTTATAAACTACTGTTATATTATCATATAAGTGAGTAGTTGTTCTATAAAAAAAATTTAAATATTTTTAATCCTTATATGCTTAATGTTCAACTTTTTTAATGCAATAGTTAAATTTTGATAATTTATTTTTATTTTAGGTTTCACCTCCCGATCATCACGGTTTTTGCAGTCTCGGTACAAGTGTGGATTGCATTCGCTCAGCTTTAGGAAAATCAAAAATAATTATTGGTAAGCCAAATATTAATTTAATAGTTTAACACTTATATTTTTGTGATTTTTTCTTTTTTTAATTTAATTTAGCACAAGTAAATAAATGTATACCACGCACATTTGGTGAAGCCATCATCCATCAATCACATATTGATTATGCTGTCAGATTTGATCGTGAATTACCAGCTCATGAACACAAAGATCCAAACCCTACTGAAACAGCTATTGGCAAACATATTGCTGATAACCTTGTTGAAGATGGTGCCACATTACAAATGGGCATTGGTGCGATTCCGGACGCCACGCTTACCTGTCTTAAAGATCATAAGGATTTAGGAATCCATTCAGAAATGTTCAGTCTTGGTGTTATTGATCTAGTCAACTCAGGAGTTATAACTAATCATAATAAAACATTTGATAAAGGACTGATTGTGACAAGTTTCTTAATGGGCAACAAAAAGTTGTATGATTTTGTTGATAACAATCCATTAATATGTAATGAATTTTTTAATTAATTTATTAAAATGTATATATATACCTAATTGTATAAATGTTTTGTAGGTATGAGACAAGTATCATATACTAATAATGTACACATAATATCTCAACAACCTAAAATGACTGCAATTAATTCTTGTATTGAAGTAGACTTGACTGGACAAATTGTATCTGGTTCTATTGGATATAGATTATACTCTGGTAAATAAAATATAGGTTAATTAACTATTAGAAAATAATCTAATAAATGATAATGAATAGTAGTAAATTAATATCTATTTTAGGGTATGGTGGTCAAGTAGATTTCATTAGAGGAGCTGCTGAAGGTTTTGACGGCAAGGGTAAACCTATCATTGCCCTAGGTTCTGTGAATCCCAAAACTAAGGATGCCAGAGGTTTTCCAAGTAGTAAAATTGTGCCTAAAATCCAAGAAGGTAAAATATTTGAAAAGTACACAAAAATTTTAACATTAATGTCATCCAACTATTTTATAGGAGCTACGGTAGTTACAACCAGTGCACATGCTCATTATGTTGTTACTGAGTTTGGTGTTGCCTCATTATTTGGAAAAAGTTTGAGACAACGAGCACATGCCTTGATAAATATTGCCCATCCTGATCACAGAGAATGGTTAGAAAAAGAAGCATTTAACCGTTTAAAAGTTATGCCAAGTGCATGAGCATTGCATATTTAATGTATTCAACATTTAAATGTATTATTATTCTTTGTTTAATTAATAATAATATTACCAGAGTAATATTATAATGTATTCTTCTTTATACGCTCAATATCATATTGAGTATAATTGATTGATAATACAGTTTTTACTCCATGGTAATTCGTATTTGGTTTATTTTTTAATTATTTTTTTTTTTACTAAAAACTTTATAATATTGAGTCATTCTTATTATATTCATTTAAATATATTATTCTCAATGTTCCCCATAAAAAAATTAATGAGATAAAAATTATTTTCTAAACATGATGTATATTTCTATGTAGTATGGAAATAGTGTTGTGGATCTCAATAATATTATTACAAAACAATTAAAATTGTATAATTTTGTTTGTTCATACAGATTATATATCTGGTATGTTGCTAAAATCAARAAATAAATTAGGAATTCTATTTTCATATTAATAAATAATAATGTATTTATAATAAATGTATTTTAACTATTATGTATAAGCTATTAATTAAAATTGCAATGTACATTAATTTATTAAAAATAGCATTAAATCTTAAGTATGGAAGATGTTTTAATGTTTAACATATCCATTAAAATTGTATATTCAGTGTTGGCAAAAATTAATTATCAACCAATAGTTAATATTTAGTGAATACAAATTACAACTATAATTATAAACTGATGTATTTTGATAAATAATAATTTATCTTATGTTTCAATACTTAACAGTTAAGTTGATTGAGTTATTGATGTTAAAATAAATACAATTCATTTTGAAAAAAAAAACTTGTTTGCAAAATTTTATCTTATTCTCAGTAATTAATGAAGTATTGCCATATTAAATGCATGTTTTTCTTGAAATTAATTAAGTTAACCATGACCTTAGATTTTTTTTTTTTTTTTTTTTAGGGTTAAGGCTTCGACAACTGAGGTCATTAGCCTGGGGGCTGTAGGGGAAGGTACTGTAGGTTTTAAACACGTGGGTATTTTGGCAGAATTTTGAATGGGCACCTGTAGGTTTCTGCCATGCCCGGTTGGGGGGCGGTGGCCTCTCTCTCCAGACACCGCGAAATGCCCAAAGAGCGATGCCACCCGTGACCGAGGTTCGAACCGGCGACTGCGTGCTTGGCAACAGACGCCTTAGTCCGCTCGGCCACTCCACCCCCAGAGATTTAATTTTACATATTTTAACTATAGAGTATTTTGCAATGTATTGTATCTATATAATCAGCCTGAGGATGTAGGTATACAGAAAATAAGTTTAATAGATCCAAATCTTACTCGCTTTCTCTTACTTTTATACATTTATTCTATCAGTGACTGCAGTTTCAAAAATATTTGTTGGTGAATTTAAATAAATGCATATAGGTAATATTATATTCATCCAATCAGTTATTATGTATTTCTTTGAATCAATTCATCTTTCATATTTAATTAAATCATAAATAAAATTAATGTTTTTAATAAATTTAGTCAATTGAGTGGTAACAGTGCTATCAAAGTCTTTTTGGTACTACAGTAGAAGGGAAGTGTTCATGTTATCTCCCCCTTTGGCTTATTTTTGAGTATAAAATAATATATTATGATAAAGCAATGAAAGTATATTTATTATTTACTGTCATAGGAAATGATCTTTTTTTTTTCCGTTCAAAAACCGGGAACGGGTGGGAAATGATTTGTATAAAGTTAAAATAATTTTTAATTATTAATTACCTTCTTGGTATAATATCTTTATTTATTTCACAGTCACCTACAAATATAAAAACTCAGATTTACGATAGAAAATGTATTCTGTGGTTCTCAGCACACCTCTAACCAAAATTCAGGGCAACAAGCTAGCAAGCAGTGGCGGAACTACGTATGATTGAAGGCTGGATGTTCCGCTGGCCTCATCGTGAAAGGGGCCTCAGCGCCTCGCAGCAAAATGATGTACTTTTAAAAAAAAAATGTCGGTACAAGTAAATAAAATCATTGAATATAATATAATATACACAGTATACTGATAAGTGATTACTAAACGTGTATATGATTAATCATACACCATAGTATTTAGTAGGTACTATTATTAATTTGAATAATAATATTGTCATGTCTTATTATGCGGGAATGCGGCGGTGATACACGGTAACTCGGAGTGGAGCCTATAATAGCTGGTATACTAAATTATAGAAATAGATTATATACTACGGTAGTACGGTCTACGGCCCAAGAAAGAAATTATTTTTATCATTTCATTCTAACGATTTCAATATAAGAGTGGTGTTATTGGGTGTTTGACCTTTGACGGTGTTTGGTGTCAGAAACAACGTCCAAGTTACTTGGGTAAGTAGTTTTACAATTATTTTGCATTGAAAGACAACATTAAATTGTGATTCGTATATAATCATTGTCGTCATTGGTGTTACGTAAATACTAGAAATTTAATATTAATTATTAAAACTAATGGTTTTGKACATATTTATATATTTYATCTACATAATATATTAAATTTTAAAGAAAATTAAATAACCTTATAATTTAAAATTTTATGAAAAGTAGTTAGTATTATACCGTGTTCGCAAATCGTTATATAATATTATATATTTATATTGTGGACGCGATTGTCACTTATTATAATATATTATACATTTTATTAATATTTTTAACGGAGGCTTGACTGTTTTCCACGACTCGCATTTAATATTTTTATACCTCCATCGAGAATCACTACATATTATTATTATCGTTATTGGTGAAGACGTTTGCTCAAAACCGTAGCAGAAAAAAATCATTTTCACTGTAAATAAAATATTATTATTACTCTTTCCATAATTATAATTCAATAAATTATTAATTTACTATAAATATATATATATATTTTTTTATTGCATACAAATAAACAGCCCAATGTTTAGAAATTTAAATTACAAATATAAGGTCTCCAAAAAAATTGTATCCATGGGCCTTAGTGAAGTTCCGCCACTGCTAGAAAGTATACAGGTTGTAAGGTGTAATAAAAATACTTGACAGATAAAAAATAAAACATTGTTACTAATTTAACCGCGAAACGACAAAAGTTAAGAAAATTATGTGGGTTATTTGATAAATATATATATATATATTATGTCGCCAAAAAAATGTTACAATTTAAATTACTTTAAAAAATTTTAATACTTGTAAAAATTTAAAAAATAAATATTTTTACTAATAAATAAACGTTTTTCTAATCAAAAATTAGACTTATATAATGGCTGCTATGAAGTTTTCCAAAAACATTTAATAAAATTTTAAAATTTTAGTTTCAGTATTTAAAAAAATAAAAGTTTAAAAGTTATTTAATTTGTCTAGTCTGCGTGTTACACGTGTTACACGTCTAGTATGGATTACAGGTAACCCATTAACTAATAGTTCTTATGTTTATATTATATACAGGCACAAAGCTAGGTGCTAAATGCTGATAATAATTATTTATTAGTAATAATTGTTTTACTTATTTAAGAGGTAATATTTTAATAGTAGATATATCTACATATATGAATTAATAAGTTATATACTAATAAATAATAATGTTTTAAGTAAGTATTATATAGGTTATAGGTAAGTACTTATTACCACCTCAAGAATCGATTTGTGTGATACGCTATGTTAGATCATACCATTATACGATACAGTGGCGGATTTGAGAGGAGGCGACGTTGCGATTACCCCTCCCTAGGGAATTTTTTTTACTTAAACTATAGCACCGTATGATAAAAAAAAAATATGAAATTCATAAGTCATAGCTAATAGCTATAACATTAAACTTATGAATAAATTACAAAAAAGGTATTTTTTTTAATATGAAAATCGGAAATGTGTATTCGGTTACGTCTTTGTTATTACCTATCAAACTATGTTACCAATTCGCCCCCTCCTCAAATGATCTTCAGATCCACTACCGATACGATACACCTACTATGGTGTATCATATTATAGTATATAAATATGTAACAAAACCATTATAGGACCTACTACGAGTACTATCTATTTAAATATTATCTATAAAAAGTATATAGTTTTAATGAGTGATCTCCGTCTTACTGTGGCATATAATAATATATTATGAAGGTATCCAAATTGTACGTTCATAATAATCAATTTTACTATTTTTTTTCCAAATATTAGAGGATATAAATTAATTATAGGTATCTATTATCAAATGAAGTTCCCCGTCTAGGTTTTTTGACTGAATTTTAATAATATATGAAAACAATTTTAACGTTATAATGTCAATGTTGTATGAAGTTCATTTTTAATTTTTTTTTTTTTTTATTTTTTTTTAACATATTTATTTCAATTTGTAGAATCTGTAACAGAAATTTACAATACCAATTCACAATGGAAGGTTATAATATGAAGTTCATAACCCGAGTTTTCTGATTCATATGACAACGACATCTTGAACATTTTCGTGTAAACATGATGTAGTATCTGTCCTCGGCGTTAGAATATTTATCGTTGCTTTCAAGTATCTATATTCTATATACAATATAAAGAGGTAAGATATACCCATGGCACTTGTGAGTAGTTGTGACTTATAATCTTGTAAAGACTCGCACTATTTTTTTTCAATTTTAGTATATGTTTATGAAGCATAAATAATTGAGCAAAATCATTCAACATAAAATGGCACACACCTGGTACAGCAGGGGGAAATTTCACCAACATGTTAATTAAACCCTAAGCAAGGTATAATTTTCATTTAGACAAACAGCAATAATGACGCATGCCACTTATTATTGGATTGAAAATGTGAAAAGTCTAATAATTTTAAAATATGATCCTTATAAATTGTTTACTAGGTATTTTTATGCATAGGTAGGTACTTAGCTAATAGCTATTCTAAAAATCAGAATTTAAATAAATACATTATTAAAAGATAACATTGGGCAAGCATGATGCTTGGTGAAGTCTCCCCTATATGGCTATATATAATTAATTATGTGACCCCCTCTCAGAGAAAATAAGGGCTGTACCACTGAATGTTTATACGGAGTTTGGGAAAATGTATATAATTATATTACTCAAGCGAGACTTCAACTCAAATAACGGATAATGTATATATAGTAATATTATGGTCTTATGTAGGTTACAAAAATTGCGTTTCCTAAGAATATAAATTCATAATAAACGATACAATGCACAAGCATAGGATTATATAATAATGTGATATTATAGTAT